CGCCCGACCGTCACCCCCACATCGTTGCCACATTTTGACTGCACACTTAGCTGGTGAACCATGTCCAGACCACCTTTGTTTTTTTAACTCTCCTTATCTGCAGATTTGTCTGGGTCAATCCAAAAACCCATGAAAACATTGGTCCGTGTGATATTTAAATGTCACTGACGTTGACGCTATGATAAAAAAACAAACAAACAAACAACAAAAAAACACTCAAAATACTTTTGCCCTAAATACATTTTTCTGTTGATGCACTTTATGAATGTGTAACATATGTGTATACATAGATATATATGCGTATCTGTGTGTGTATATATGCATAAAGAGATAAATATATATATATATTTATACATATATTTTAAAAATAAACCTTAAGCTACTACAATATTTTCCGGGCTATTAGTCGCACCTAAGACTAACACTCTGGTGCGACTTATATATTCATATATTTAATTTTGCATGTTTGTTATTTTCACACTGACAGCTGCTAGAGGGCACTCTACCTGGCTAGTGCCACTCCGGAGCGACTTATATATATATATGTTTTTTTTTTTTCTTCTTCATTATGCATTTTATCCGGTGGTACGACTTATATTCCGAAGCGATTTATAGTCCAGAAAATACGGTCAAAATACGGTCAATTTTTCAAAAATAAATTTCGTTTACTCAATATAAAAGTTTACTATATTAAACAAAAAGTTATAAATGAATATATATTCGAGTGGACTCTTAAAAAACTTAATTAATAAAAGAGTTGACCAATATGTTTATATACTGTATGTACACATATGTATATGCATAGACATATCTATATGTAAATATTTAAAAACATGCATTGATACAATAGATATTTACTGGTAATATTTAATTGTATAATCAAATTTAACTAACTTATATTTGATTGGATTAATACATTGATAAATAACAGAATGGACCAATTTATTAACCCTGTTTATTAACAGTTTTAAGCCCGGGTTGTCTGGGTCAAAGATAAACTCCTGGGTAAAATCAATAGACTAATAATCCAGCTGGGATTATCAGTTCAGACAGAATCCTATCCTAATATTTCATATCTGATGACATGTGACCTGTGTCTACTGACGGCCGTAACCATTTGTTGGAATTCCCTGTCACCTGGGTGACAAACCTTTGAGGCACTCTATCATTTTTGTCCTAAATTCTTGATCACAGGCAATAAATATATTTCAAATATATTTCGCATTATTGGCTAGATTGGGCCATTTTCTGTTGTGAAACATCAACAAGCCATTTGAAGGGTTACCGAGTTCAACCCGGTGACTCATTTGGCCCATTTTCTGTTGTGAAACATCAACAAGCCATTTGAAGGGTTACCGAGTTCAACCCGGTGACTCATGAACTGTATTTGCCTGTGGCAGCTTATCGAGTCACACACTCGATTACATGTAAACGGCACAGGTCAAACATATATATGGTCATGATTATTCGGGGTCAAAGATAAACTCCTGGGTAAAATAATCCAGCCAATAATCCAGCTGGGATTATCAGTTCAGACAGAATCCTATCCTAATATTTCATATCTGATGACATGTGACCTGTGTCTACTGACGGCCGTAACCATTTGTTGGAATTCCCTGTCACCTGGGTGACAAACCTTTGAGGCACTCTATCATTTTTGTCCTAAATTCTTGATCACAGGCAATAAATATATTTCAAATATATTTCGCATTATTGGCTAGATTAGGCCATTTTCTGTTGTGAAACATCAACAAGCCATTTGAAGGGTTACCGAGTTCAACCCGGTGACTCATGAACTGTATTTGCCAGTGGCAGCTTATCGAGTCACACACACGATTACATGTAAACGGCACTGGTCAAACATATATATGGTCACGATTATTCATGATTATTTACTTAATCTATAAAATAACAAGATTAAATCGTCATTATCAACCACCATTAGGGAACATTTTATGCAGATTATCAAATTAGTTAAAGGCAATTTGAGCACAGCATTTATTTCACCAATATAAATGTTTGTAGCGTGATTTAATGCCAAACAGTATGAACATTATATTTACTGTGATAATGACTTGTGCTCTAAATTAACTCCATTAACTCAACTTAGCACCCGGCAGAGAGACAAAACTTAATTTCAAGCAATACAAATAAACTACTTTTTTTTTATATAATACTTCTTCAGGTGGTACCACAGCAGTAGTTGCTATAGTGACTGGTTGACTCATGTTTGGAGTTTGGAGACTCGTGTTTACTACCACGTGAGCTGATGTGTTTGATGTAATTCAATTTAAAGTAAGAAACAACTAAGATATTTGCGTTTATAAAAATTCACATTATATGCAGTAGCTACCAAATTCACACTACTGCTAACGGCAAAAATGTTGCAAAAGTTGCAAAAAGAAAATAAATAAAATAATAGTTGCAGTTTGTACATTATCAATGCCAAAATTGTTTTATTTCCTTTTTCAAAAATTTCCGGTTTCTCTCCCAATTAGAAAGGCCTGGTGACGCATCAAGACGTTTTCAAAATAAAAGCCTCCGGAAACCATCTTTCAAAAGGAGAAAAGTACGGAAGCACCAATACTGACTGTATCGGTATGTGGCCCGAAACTTCATTCAAATACGTGTAATTGTACCTGAAGACCGGTGATGTATGTATTTCTACATTAAGTTCAATGTCTCATTACTTTAATTGGTAGTTGTTTTTTAGTATATCAACAATGTTGGCAGTATTTTAATATCGGTAACAACTACTCTTTTTAAATCATATCTGAATTACAGTTTTTTTGTGACATTTTCCTCAATTGCGACCCGTCCTTGTTGCGGAGAAAGTTCCGTAATTCTACAGCAGTTAACAGGTGACACTGGAGGTTACACAAGGACAGCCAGCTCACGGGTTTCGCTATTACTTGGCAAATTCTTCCCCCTTCTGGTTTAAAATGTGTACTGCAGATGAAATTATCACGAAATTATTGGCTCTAACTCATTTAGAACGGCATTTAGCTCTCGTTCGCCAAGTTCAGTCACACATTTAAGGAAGAATATACATTTATTCAAGAAAATAGTCTCCATCACGCGGTTTTTATTTGTACTTTATTTTATTTAAGTTAAAAAAAATATGATTGGCCAGTTAAACCACAGCTTAGTAACCCATTTATATTCAGTTCTCTTTATTGATAAATAAACATAATTGTTTTTCTTTAACAATTCACATTCCATCATGTAAAAAATAAATGATATGTCTCTTTTGGACTATTAAAAATCCTCCACCAGATTAATATGTACCACTTTTTTTTTTATTTTCAGCAGTAACCGCTGAATTCAACCACACCTTATTTACGTACATTTCTCCAAAGAACAAAACCATGCCAAATGAATGACATTCTGGCTGAAACAGACCATAGAAATATCTCCATTATCATGTGGTGTGACCATAGGTTTTGAACTATAGAAACTATTTGTTCATTAGGTCAAATCAAAATATATATAGACTCAGTGAGATAGCTTCATTACTCCACCTTTTTCCTCCGAGTAAATTTGTAATGAACAATGATTTGAATCAATATGTAACAGTTGATGACCAAGAAAAGTAGTCCTGTGAGCCAGATCAACAGGAACGTGTTGAAGCCTTCGAACTCCAGAAAGTAGGCGGGGCACAGCCACAAACCCTGTAAACGATTCAGGGAGAAAGCAACGTTTTAAAACTGTTATTATATACTACATATACACACGAAAGCATTGACTGAATGTTGCACTTCAACAGACTATCACCATGGGAATACCTGTCCAGTGAACCAGAGGAGCAACAGTCCGGTTCCCTGCTTCCAAGAAAGACTCAGCTGAGGAATTACCAGAGGAAGCAAACACAGGTACCACAGGAAGTACTGCAAGAAATATATGAGTAAAATCCAATGTGTAAAATTGGGTTTTGAATTTAAACGCGTGTTCTATTTTTTTAAATGTCAACGCATCATAGTTCCTTACAACAGAAGTATAACTATTTACTGTGTGCAGTTATAGGTACCTGTGAAGTGCAGACTTTGTTGAAGGACACGAAAATTGCTGTGTTGAGGAAACAGGAAAAGGCCAGGTCAGAGCGAAAGGCCCATGATGCCAACAACAGCAGTAGGAGCTGAGGGAGAAACGCAGCCAGGCCAAGCCACTGACTCCATCTGCTGTCTGTTTCAAAACAAGGCCAAAGGAAAAAGACACGTCCATATTTAAGTGAAAAAAATGTCAAATTAAGAAAAATATTTTCAATCTGATTTAACCTAGTTCTTTCGCGTGGTGTAAGTTGTTCAACATTGAAGCTGTTAATGATCGGAATAATTCATACCTGCAGTGAGGTAGAGCATGTAGAAGTATGGAGAGAAGTTGTGTCTGATGTCCCTTCTGGTCAGGTGATAAAAGTACGTCTCATTGAGGAACACCCACCCATACCTGACAAGAAACCAAAAAAAAAAAAAAAAAAATCTATTCAATATATCATTAGAGGATAAATAATATTGCTCTGTTAATTTGGAAACATATTGTTGCTCATCTTACATGCAGTAGAAAAGTCCTGTCAGCATGCAGAAGGTTCCTGCAGCCACACTTGCGAAGAGAAACAGTCGAGCATTGAGGAAGCTGCCGGTGAATGTGATCATTGTCCTCCAACTGCACCTCTGTTTGTCCATCTCTGCTCTGGTTCCTTCAGTCTGCAGGGTCAGCACAATGGGCAGAGCATATGTAATGGGATAGATCTTCATATGGACCGACAGGCCAAACAAAACAGCTGCGCAGATGAGACGCCGACCTAAAAAAAAAAAAGAAAAAAGAGGTGAAGTAGCAAAACACAAATACATGGACAGCTGTTTTAAAGAGTTGCATAAATTCACAAACCACTTACTCTCCATGCACAGTAATGTCCCCAGCACCAGGGCTGCAAGAATGGACTCTGCGTTTCCCCGGCTGGACACTCCCATCGGCAGTGGGTTGAGGAGCCACAGAGAAGAAACACGACATGCAGTCTGAAAATGACGTTGCCATGAAAATAAACACAACTTTATCTGCACTGTGAGTAACTTTGTAATTTAACATTTTCAGTGAGATTGTTTCTAAAAAAATGGTTTAGAATCTTTTGAAATGACTATATTACCAACCTCAGAGGCATGACCATGCAGTCGCAGGATTTTGTAGATGAGCAGACCTGACAGCACGTCACATAGGATGAACAGGATCTTGCCAAAAACCACACTAAGATAGATGTTCGGAGTGAGGATCCAGGCCAGAAGCGGAGTGTAGCGGTAGGTAGATCTGTTGTATGGAGATGCTCCCTGTGTAAAATAATAATAATAATAATAATTTTTTTAAAAAATAAAGAAATTACATTATTCACCACCACTATAAATTGAAATATTAGACAATGACACACAAAAAACCCCACAAAAAAAGTTTAAAAAAAAATTATGACTGTTGTGCAGTAATCTGATGATGAGCGTCATCTTTATTGACAAATCAACGTGCGGCTTCCGTTACCTCCGTGACGAACTGTGCAGCGTCTGTGAACACATGGTAGTCGATGTCAGTGTACTTCACGACCATGGTTCTGTCCTGGTGGATTCCATAAACAACCAAAGCCAGCCGCAAAGCCAAGGATGCCGGGAAGAGGACGCTTTTCTCGGTAAGTCGAGAAATCAGCCGCTCCATCATCAGCAACAGTGGGAAACCAGGTTAGCATTAGCTGCAGCAGCTAACTACACTGAGTTGAAACGTGTTGACAAAACAGTCCTCCCTGTATGACGTCAGCTCAGAGGCATATGTACAGGTAACAGCAGCATGTGTAAAATAGACGGTAAATCCAAATGATCCAAATATTTCTCACGACGACAGTATAAACACGTTTCCTGTATTTTTGTCACGTGATTATTTGTTGACCCGCCCTTTCGGGAGACAGGCGGAAGTAAAACATGATTTCCTGAAATTTTAAATGAATTTGAACAAGTCTGCCTTTATTTTTTAACGATATTTTGGTGTTATTGTTGATGTTTTTCAAAATATCTCGTTCCAAATAAACTCACAAACACAATTTCCCAAAAAAAATTAAAAAAAATGTATATTTGACCATTGTTTGAAACCTTTGCCTGATTAATTACAATAAACATACTGTTTAAAATAAGTTTTATCCTATGAACAAGAAGCTAAAAGAGTTTCACTCTCTGTACTTTTGTGGCAATAATTTTTTAATGAAGAGAAAGTTATTAAATTATTTACATTTAAATGTTTCACTCTCTGTACTTTTGTGGCAATCATTTTTTAATGAAGAGAAATCAAAGTTATTAAATTATTTACATTTAAAATGGATTATTGAAGTAAATGGAAGACCACAGTTATTTTGGAATTTCAGTTTTATTCCATAGAAGCAACACACGACTCGCTTGGTTTATATTTCTTCTGGATACAAACTCCCTTTTTTGGTAAGACATTCACTTTAACGCACATATAGATAGAAACAAACATCACTCTAAATGACACAGTGTTCTGTTGATGTAATTTTAATAAGAATATTATATTTGGTTCACTGAATGTATAAAACAATTTATTCCTTCTCTTTGGTTAAAGTGCTGTGTTTATGTGTTCAGTGTTGTCTGACTAAGGCACATTTCCACCTTTTCCAGACTTTTACTGGAATATGAACTCAGGCTGTGTGTAAGGCTGGGGGGGGGGGTCCTATGAACTTTAATTGGTGCCAAAATAAAACAGTGCAAAACAGAATTTCCAGAATAACCATCAACTAAACCTAAACAGTAATGTAGACTAATGGCTTCAAATTAGAAGAATGTATCAGCGTGGTGCTGAAAACATAGGAAAATAACTCAAAATAAGCTGTAGCTGTTAAAAACAACAATTCAACCCCAATTATATATGTAAATGTTTCGAAAACTGCCTGCAGATGAGAAAAGACTGATCCCAGCTTCGTAGCTCTCACTCAGGGGAGCAATAGCGGCCGGCAAACAAGATGCTTTTGGTGGCATTGTGGCGGATGAAGAACAGGAATGGGTGGTCTGCGATAAAGGGAGGTGGTGGTCTTGGCAAAGAGCGAAGCATCATGACGGCAGCTGTGGCTGCTGCGGCCTCGGTTCCCTCCTCATTTACCTCCACGAAAGCCTTGTGCACGACCTTTGACAGGAACAGGTCGTTTGATGGAGACATGCCTGTAATGAAAGATGGCGACGGAAAAGAAATTAAAGCTTGTTGTCATTTTAACTTTCTCATGGCATCCAGATTCACGTCTCACCTGAGAAGTCGCTCATTGCTACGTCAAAGGCATCCACCATGCCCATGTTGACCAGGACGTTCTTCAGGTCGTACTTCTCCTCCATCTTGAACCGAGGCAGACCCAGCTGCACTTCAACGTCGTCCATCATGTCAGGGCGAGTCCACTCCATGACGTTTTCGTAGGTCAGCGCTTTCTCCAACTAGTGAGCACCGAACATTTTAAATCAGACTGGTTTCAGTACATTTGAAAGTACACGTGGGGAACTGTGTGGGTATTTTCCATTACCTTTTCCAGACCAGTTGAATTGTCTTCTATTTCCGAGGGAAGAAAGATAAGCATGCTGAGGTCTTTATCTTTATAAGGGATCTCCAGGATCTGTGTTCATATACAGATGTGTATATACACACATATATATTATATACATATGTATAAATGAAACATATATATTATATATACACATATATATAAATAAAGTAATTGTACTATAATAACGCAAACATTTTGATCACCTGACAGGAGACTTCAGAGATATAGGTCAGGGGGAACTTTGCTTTCTGGTACATCATCTTCACTGGTTTAGTGTCATTCTGAAAAAGAGCAAAAACAATACTTTTGTTGCAGCGTTGTTGTCCTGGAAATGTTTTTTTCCAGGGTCACCGCCTGAACTCTATATGAATTAATATGGACTTTTAGATGCCCAGGTAATAGTCAACAATGGCACTAAAAAGAACATCATCTTATCTGATAATCGGTAACAGCGGTTTAAACTGTTACCTAACTGTTACTCTCTTCTCTTCCCTTTTTTAACCAATTTGTTTAGTCCAGTTTCCTGTTGCGTGTCGCTCGTTTCCTCAAATCTTATCTATCTTAAATACTATATAGCTAATAGCTAATATTTCCTCAAATCTTATCTATCTTAAATAATATATAGCGTATGATTTGTTAATTTTGATTTATTTATATGCTTTTGTACTATACTGTATAACACTCAACATGCATTTTTACCTTGTTGATTCTAAACTGAGCATCTCTTGTGGCTCTCTCTTCAAACTGCTTGTTCCAGTTGCCTTTAAAGTAGATGGCATTGACCAGCACCAGCCTGGTCATGTTGTCCACCACACCGTTTGCCAGCACATCCTTAATTTTACCTAAGAAGCCGAAGAAACCAAACGAATGACTTTTCTATCATACGAGAACAATCGTGCCAACGTAACTCGGATTTATCGACGTTTTCCAAACCCTGTGTCTGATTTTCCACCCAGTTGTTGATGTTGACCCTCGCGGCCTCGTGGCTGCCCACGAAGTCCACAGCCTCCAACTCGGCATTGTAGTGCTTCCTGGTTAGCCCTAAGAAATCCTGAGACAACAGAGAACACGTAGATTAACTTTGTTTAAACAAACAGATTAGCATCGTCATTTAGTTGAGGCGGCGGATTTACACAGTCACTCCTTTTCTTTCTTTAGTCTCCTTGATGGCTTCATTTATCAAGCTTATCAACACAGAGCACAGAGATTCCATTCTACGCCTCCCATTCATTCCAACCTGACCAGATCAGTGCCACACCCACACATACCTCAACAAACTGGTAGGACTGTTCTCCGTACAGCCTGTTGGCCACACTGAGGGCATACGGCGCACCAGGCTTGTTGAGCACACTCAGTAGCTGACTGAAGTCGGAGTGAACGTCCTGACACTGCTTGGTTTTCAGACCCTGTAAATGGACAAAGTAGACGTCTTAAAAGGTGACAGCAGTAATTTTTGGGTTAGTTCAAGTACCGTCGTGTACACCGGAAACCTGACAAGCCAGCAGGAGAGCGATAGTTCGAGACACTTACCCATGTACAACACCAGCCAGAGGAACAAATACCACCTAAAGACACCAAAAGTACCTCCACCAGCTTGTTCTTTACTATATATAACATTGAACTTTAAAAAAAAATCTTTGCGTTCATCTAAATTTATCATATTATTGTCGACACAGAAAAAGAAATATCAAAGGCCATGACAACATTCTTGTAAACAGTTCAACTGGCACACACATATGCACACAAACACAAGCCCAAACCTGTGGTGAAACGTTTTCCATCTTTGCTTAGTTTCAAACGTTATTGCAAGCGTCCCTCACCAGAGGTCCCCGTGAGCACAACAGCCTACTGCATTTAGTTAATTGTTAGTTTCTCGGATTTGTTACAACCTTTAACAGATAGGCTGGAAGGTCTATGGCCTGCTGCCGCTGTTGTTGCTGTTGTTGTTGTTGTTGTGCCCTTGCAGGTGGCTGCTGCTTGGCCTCTGTGAAGCCAAGGACCTGGTGGTGCAAGTTTTAGTTTTTGCCGTTAAATTCATCGTCACATGTCTGTTGTGTCTGGATCTTCAATCCCCCATCAAACACCAGTTACGTGAACGTTTACCTGCGAAGACTTATTTAGTTGCTGAAAGCTGCTTCAGTGTGACAAAACCCCACACTTTAGTCAAGATAGGGGCCCTGCCCAGTGGCCACAGTAATTCTGGGCAATTCAAGTAAGGTGTTATCAACCAATGTCAGACGATAAGACGGTTTTCAAGTCCAAAGTAACTTTTGCCGATACTTGTGAACTCTATCACAGCCGAAATGTTCCGTGTAGTCATGCATTAAAATTCTTAAAATTCATATTTTTCAAACTAATCGCAGATGGCGAAAATCCTTAAAGCTGAGGCCCTTAAGTTGAAATTCCTTTATGTCAAAAACAACTCTGAATTGAATAAGCTTTTTTACTACATTTAGATAATAATGGTCATTTACCTTTTTTTCATAAAAAATTATAATTATGGATTGCTGTAATAATTACAGTCCTTAACAGTTTCCATATCAAACAAGGGGATTGAATGTGTTGTTTTTTTTAACCCCAGATTAAGAATAAGGGGCTTGCCCTGGTTTATTCTATTTGAAAGAAATACAAATTATAAATATATGCTACTGAAGACTGTGACTCATTCAGAGATTAAACTGACTGAACAGTCTCAGGTAGCCAGACGGCTCCTTACTATTGCATGTACTGTATGCGTAGGACGTGAACCGATAAGGTGTACAGAACAATTTACTTTGCATTCGTTTTTTTTTATTGCTCTTTTGCTTATATGTTATGCCGCGTTTCCATGGTTTCACAACACTGAGCTGCCCCACGATAAAACCTGGTCAGAGTCTGAGCAAAGTCCACACCTCTCATTCTAGCAAAAGACTGACGGCTGATTCACAAGACTTGTGACCCAACGTTTCTCGCAGCTGCTCCACTGTCTCGTTTATTCTCCCTGTGACTAACACTCTTCCCTTAACGCAGCTTTTGTGGCTAGATGTTTGTTTGACCCTACATTAATTACCTATTCTTTTAATTGATTAGTTGATCACTTTTTCTTTTCACTGATAAATGTTTAAAAACTGTTATCATCATATAGTACATTTTCTTTCTTTTTCTTTTTTTTTTTTTAGATTATGTGAGATTATGTAAGGATGTGCGTGCTGTACCTCTGACATCTGTGTGTGTGTGTTGCCTGCTGCCCCCAGCATCACCATGGCCAGAGCTGAGGAGATGCTGAAAGGTGAGAAGAAGACATTGGCCGTCTTGTCGTTGTCGCTCAGCTGCTTGAACAGGTCCAGACAGAAGGAAGTGTTGGCCTCGGACAGAGGGGCTGGTGATGCCATCGTGTCTGCACAGTAAGGACATCAGAACATTTTAAAAATCAATTCAAGGCCATATTTGTTATTGCAAATTTTTACTAATACCTCTAAAACAAACTGCTTTCAAGATACATATTAATATGGAATAATAATACATTTAACATAATGTCGCTGATATTTTAAAAAAAAGTTTCAACTACTATTAAAGTAAATAAAGTAAGTTAACAATTAATAGTCAGTGTCAATCCTAACGAGGATGAAAGACGACAGGTTAAATGGCTTATAATAACATAATAACATCAAACCGAACGTAAATGTCAATATGTGCAACGCGTTTTAAAATAAAAAGTAAAAATTAAACCAAGTTATTATTATTATATTACTGTTAGTCTTGAGGTGTTGAGCTGGACGCGCAGACAGAAAGTTCTTCTCTGACAGAGGAGCGGCAGCAGCAAGTCAGGAGTGAACTCTGTGAACAGACAGCCTCAATATAAACAAACGACGCGGACACACCCCGAACACTTCCGCGTTGTGTATGGAAGCCGAAAGGGTCAAAATGAGTTTTCTCGCAAACGTGGATAATCCATAAAAAAAGTATTTAAACGTTTGTAAATGATATAGTATATTAACTACTACTAATAAACTATTAAAAGTAGCATTTAAAAAAACTATTAGTACGTTTTATGGATATTTGACCCTCCCTCCCTGTTTTTAAATTGTTTTAAAAATGTGTGTATGAATTGGCAAAATGACAGACACCAATCAGGACAGGTTTTTTCAGTTAGAAGTTTATTTCTCAATAGTTGCTTCCACACCTACGCGATTCACAGCCCAAAAGGTCAGAAACAATCATTTCCACAGAATTTTACTCCTACAGTTGTGTTTCACAGCTGGAATGAAGTGTGTGTTCATTACAGTGTGTTTCTGTCTTCTTCTTTTATTCTCATGTTAAAGGGGAGCTATAAATGAGCATACAATGGCTTTTAATTACATTATTACATATAAGCAATATTATAATCACTAAAAATTTCATTATTACATATAAGCAATATTATAATTACTTAAAAAAAATTCAAGTTGTAAAATTGAAGCTGTAAATGAATTTCCCTGCCCCACTGTACTACTATCGTTGTCCACTAGGGAACAGCATACACTTATTACTATAAGTGTATATGTGCCTAAAGTAAAATTGGAGTGGAATTTAAAGATAGTGCAAACTTTTTTTTTCCATTTTACACATCCACCTTAACTTGTATGTGTTGAAGTGATTTTTTTGTTTGTTAATGAAGTCTATGTTGATTGTATTATAAACGATAAATGAATATGCAGCAAAAAGGGCCTAACATGCATAACGAAAACAAACACGCTGAAAGATCCCTCATACTAAACAACGTTAAGGACAGACAAGAACCCACACCTGGTGATGGACTTACCAATAAGAGAACCCAATAATTAAAAAAAAAACCCAAAAAAACAAAACAATTCTCCCTTTCCCCCATTATAAAAATGAAATTGTGTATGTACTTCTGTTAATATCACTGCACACCAGGTCAAGTAAAATTGCTGTCAACAATGTAGTGCTCACTCTGGGGAGCAGTAGCGGCCTGCAAACAAAACACTCATTGACGCGTTATGGCGGATGAAGAAGAGGAATGGATGATCTGCGGTGAAAGATTTGCTAGGTCTCACAGACGTGATTCCGACAGTGACAGCAGTGGCTGCGGCAGCTTCGGTTCCCTCCTCGTTCACATCCACAAAGGCCTTGTGGACGATCTTTGACACGACCAGGTCGTTGGCAGTAGACATGCCTGCAACACGAGGGAGAGACAACGGCCATTTTAGTTGTATTTAAGTGGCATTGTGGGAACTACCGTAATTTAAACTAAATTAGATGTTCGTTACGCTGTCATTTCAGTCCTATGGAAACTAATTAGTTTTCACTGTATATTTGTCAAGTTTTTGTTTTTTTTTTCAAGTTTATTTACTCTCTCAAAAAATGGTTTTGCAGTACGAGTCTCACCTGAGAGGTCGCTCAGTGCAACGTCAAAGACGTCCACCATGCCCATGTTGGTGAGAAACCTCTTCATGTCGTACTTCTCCGTCATCTTAAACCGAGGCAGAGCCACTCGCACCTCACTTTCACTCATGCTTACCGGATCAGTCCACTTCATAAATTTGTCGTAGGTGAGCTCCTTCTCCAGCTGGGGGCGC